GATACAGTAAGTCCTCGCTTAACATCATTGATAGAGTCTGTGATTTTAAGTGAAATGATGTATAATGAAACCAATTTTACCATAGGCAAATTGATATAAACAAGAACTAAGTTCCTGTGGCATCTCATCGATGTTAGAATGAAACGATGTTGAACAAAATGGTGTTATTTAAGGACCTGCTGTAATTTTAACATACGGCAAAGTTTAGGAACCACTGAACTGGCCTCACTTGTCCTTGATTCTTATCCACATCACCATCCTCTACTTCAGCTACCCATCACTGGGGCCACAGGTGACACTCGTCATGTACTAACACTGCCCACAGCACTTCTTTTCAACCTTCTTTCTCCCACTGTCTAGGACACCTGCTCCTAGAACTCATCAGGTTTCACACTTGCCTTCTCCCTTTTCATCCAGCCCTCCATCTCCTTCCCTATTTAAACTAGACACTGTGGTACACTACTTATTGCAGCCATCTCTTGCACACAGCCGATATACCAGCCCCTTGTTCTTTCTCTGGCCATATCTACCTAGGAAAGTTTGAGGGGGACTCACTCAATCGAACTGCAGGCATGGAAATCCAGGAAGATTTCTTGAACTTGTTGACATTTGAGCCGAGTTTTGATGGACAGTTAAAAGTGGAAGAGGGCATTTCAAGCAGGGGTACAGCATATGTAGTGACAAAGGAGGGAAACAATAGGATTTACCAGGGGAACTACATGTATGTCTGGAGCAGGAACCTAGCCCTATAGTGTCCAGAAATAAAACTGCACAAGCAGCCTCTTGCTGGATGGAGATGGGCCATGGGCGTCAAGCCAGGGAATTTACATGGAGTTTACATCATCTTTACAAGTATGAAGTTTTTTTTTTTTTCTTTTAATTACTTTTAAATTATAGCATTAATATATGCTTATAGAAAATATGAAACACCTAGAAAAGTATAAAGTATAAAATAACAACCACCTTTAATCTAATTACCCCAAACTCATCACTGTTAAGATTTTAGGACAATTTGTCCTTTTCTACTATACAAATTCTTACATAGTTGAGAGCATGCTGTATAAGAAAGCTTATATCCCTCCTTCACACTTAACATTATAACATATACACATTTAATGTTTTTAAAATTTTGTAAATATTTTAATAGCAACATAAATTGTATCATATGGACACCAATATAATTTAAGGATTTTCATACAGATGGAAATATGAGAGAAGATTTCATTACAGGCATACTTCTTAAAAATTGTCAGGTTCCAGACAACCAGAATAAAGCAAGTATTACAAGAAAGCAGTCATAATCTTTTTGCTGGTGGAGGGTCTTGGCTTCAATTTGTAAAAAAGGCAATAAAGTGAAGCACAATAAAACCAGGAATGCGTGAATTATAAATGATGCCACAGTGTTCATATTTGTATGAACTTAGATTCTGTCAATGATTTTTTTTGTGATCAATATCAAGAAATTAATGAATCAGCAGTATGAAAGTTTCTTTCCAAATAGTTTTCTGCCAGCTGCCACTCTCATCACAGGTGTGAAAGGATGCACATTTCATCTTCTTTTCCCAGCACTTGGTGTTATGATTGGTGCTACTGAAGGATGTTTGGTATGGGGACGACATGAGCAGATCTGCATGTATAAAACTGCACACGGGAGGCTGAATCAAGTGGTCCAGATCGGAAAAGCTATTGTTGTCCTTGCTGTTCTTCCTTTGTTTCCACATTCTCCTTTTTCCATTTCCCCATTCATCTTTTTTCTTTCTTGGAGAGTGTATATTAAGTGTCCACTGCACACAAAGCACTACACAAGGCTTTGCTACCAAGGACAGTGCTGAAAGGCCAGCTCTCTGGTTGCAGCAAGCTCGTGCCCAGCCCAGGCCCCCTCTTTCTATAGTCCTGTCAAAAAAGAATCTCTGGACAGTAATTCTCTTTAGGTAGAAGTATTTTATATTTTCCAATGAAATCGCCAAGTGGGTTTATTGCTAAATGGATTTCTTTCTGCATCCTATGGCTATCCAACACTACACATGATTATCCTTATCCCTGGAATGTCCTTCTTCCTTCTCCTTCACCCAGCAAATTACCTTGGCATTCATCCTTCAAGACCTCTCTCAAACGTCAGTGACACCTTTCTTCCATACCTTGCCCAGTCAGAATCAGTTACTCAGGCCTCCTTATTTGTATAGTTCAATTACTGCATTTCTACACCTAACACTTTTTCTCCCTTGGCCAAGAATCCTTCAAGAACAGAATATTTTGTATCTCCAGTTCTTAACAGAGTGTCTGGCACTTAGATGCTACTCAGTAACTGTTGGACGAATAAATGAGTGAATAAATTAATTCCTATTTTACTAAGGTATGTGGATATTCCATCTTAAATACTAATGAGTTGAAGAGTAATAAGACAATATGGAGATGATATAAGTTGCCAAAACCACACTCTGAATCATTGGTACCTAAGGTAAAACAGACACCTGGTGTACCATATGTCCTGATCCCGGAGTCTAAAAGTTCTGAACATTAATTGTATTGTGTGCCTGGACCTTGACTTGCATTCTGTTCTTTTTCATTTTAACTCCAGATTTAATTTGTGTATAAGTATCGCTGTGCTAGAAAAAGTAAAGGGAATCAATGCCAGACTTTCTCAAAGTATATTCTAGAGAAAACTACCGTGGACTTTTTGTAGGTAACACACAAAAGAAGAGTCTCATGGTCCAATATGTTTGGGAAACAAAGTTAAATAGATTTCTTTACCTCATAACTTTCTGGTAGGCATCTAGGAAGTTAAAAGAAAGATCACTTAGACAATGGTAGAGAAACAGAAGAGCAGTCGAGTCTTCCTTCAGCAGTAGACAGGAGTCATCCTACCCTCTTTATGCCAGGGAAGAGTCAGAATACAAATACAAATTCAAAGGCAAAATAGTAAAAAGTGTTCCAAGATCTTAGCCCCTTCCCCTACATTTATCTCCTCAGTCCCACATTTGTGCAAGCCTCTGCCCCCCACACACCCACCATGCTGATGAGATCAGCCTTCATTACTTCTCTTCTAGAGCCAGGAAGCAAGGTAATGTGTGGGAAGTGATAGCTGCAAGGTAATGTGTGGGAAGTGATAACAACTTTAGAGTTAAAGCCATTCAACGGGAAAATTTGTTAAAAGACCAAGACATTGTAAAAGCTGAAACACTTGAGTGGATTAAGTCCTCTGCTTCTTAGAACATCTTGTTACCAGGGAATGTTTCAAGGAGGAAAAACATCGAACTATGGCAGCTCTCTCAGATGCCAAAACAGGTACAAAGAGCAACATTTTATAAGACATCTGTCTCTATGCCACTAGAGAAACTTATACAAAGTTCTGCTTCTCTTTTCTCCTCCTTTCTTCTACCCCAATATAAATCCCCCACCATCCTCACCCCTAGACACTCTATATTTCTCTTCCTTTTCCCTCTTTCTCTGTCTCTCTTCCCCTCCCCCTCCCTCTCTCATCTCATAACCCATGCTGATTTCACAGCAAGCTATGAAATGACACAGTGAGCTAAGATTAGCCAATGGTTATTCAACGCTCTTTGGTAAGAAGGGAACTAATTAAGTGACTAGAGGTTTAAACATGTGTTGTTTATTGAATCTAAGCTCCTTAAGAGAGCCTGGAAAGATCTCCTAAACAAACATTATCCTTTCATGGCTTCTTGTTCCAAGTCCAAGTGAGATGGAGACCTCAAGGAAACAGTATCTTTTCATGGGTGTCACAGAAAAACTAATGCAATTTGTGTGTCTGTTGGCAGTTGCTGCTCATTAGTGATCACCAGTCAAACTGTAGCAATGTTGACACATTTATGGTCAGCCCAATGGTTTGTTTCACTATCTTCATTTGAAATACATCTATCAAGAGAATGCTTTTTAAACAATAGTCATCTAAACAAAAAAGTAAAGACAAACCCAAATATCTCCTTGCCAACCTTAACAAACACTATTACAATATACCAGGAGATACCTTAGAAGAGAGAAGCCTCCTGTTAAATAAACAAAAGCATTAATATAGACACAATTTTCTAGTTTATGAACATTAATAGGATGTCAGTGATTAGCTACAACCTATGAGAAAAGTACCTTTGCCTTAGTGGGCAAAGGAATGGAAGCTTTTATAGAATCTGCCTTTTTATTTTGCTTTTAAATAAATAAAAGTTGTGTTATAAAAGTGAGTCTTGGGCCCAACATCAAACCTTGATCATGCCATTGCTTTCACAAGAAATTGGGCAGGTACAATCTAAGCCTCAGGAACTGAAAAAAAGGACCTCTTCCAGGCACTGAATCAGAAGTCATTGTGAGAGGCCATCAATCAATTGTGACTCTGAGCCCGAGACTCATATTTTCTGTTCTTCTTTTCTCCTGTGGACCCAGAATAATCTGGTGTAGGTGAAATATTCTTTTCCTTGGCTCAGATTATCCTCCTAGTGTCCCGAACGAGGTCACTGATTTCCCGAAGGATGTCCAAGGAGATTGGCTCACCACTAGCTTACCACAAGCCGAAACTGTGGTTAATTAACTGTCAGTCATTGTCAATAGGGCCAAGTTGTTATTCAGATATTCAAAGAAGAGAAACTTGATCCAGCCATGGATAATGCCCTTCATCAACATTCTTTCCTATATTAATCCCAATGCAATGCATCTTTAGCTTGAAAATAACTCAGAAATAGATGGTTATCAATTTATGTTACTCTGCATTTCAAGAAGCTTCTCGATATGCCAACCTACTCACTGGATGCATATTAATGTTCTGAATCAACACCTTTTTTCACTAGAACTGGGTTTCTGTTCATGAAAAGGTACGTTTAGTGACCTTTGAAGAAATTCCTTATTCAGAGTGAGTATAAAAATGCTGTTTGGTGGGAGATGAAGGGATATTGATAGTTCTGGGTTGGACTGCTAGGGACCAGACCTTCTGGCCCAAACCAGCCTTAGGAACAGAGAGATGTGTATGCACTGCTCTTAATTGTCTCACTCTGCAGACCTCAGTGACCAGCTTCTTGAAGTGGTGGGGCTAGAGGGAGCCATGGAAATGGGGCAGATCTACACTGGCTTGAAGAGTGCGGGCAGGAGGCTGGCCCAGTGCTCCTCGGTCACCATCAGGTATGCTTCCTCATTACCCAGCAGCCTCCAAATCTCCAATGACTTCTCTTAATATTTTTACGGACATCTTTGGATTTCAGTGCAGAGAGAGTGGAGGACAGAAGCTTGATAACGTTTATAAAGAAGGTCTTTGGAGACCATTTCCCAAACTAAATGTAATGCAACCATCCAGGACATCAATTAGAGGATCTACCACAACCAGTTTGTTGTCCTCTTGGAATGAATTGGTGAAATTCTGTAAACAGAAGTGTGAGATTATTCGGTCCAGAGAATCAGAGGTCCAACTCCTTGCCTTTTTAATCTTTACAAATTAAAGTGTTAGATGTATGCCAGAGGGCACACTCTGACAAAAACCAAGTTTTCTGCTCTTCTCTGCTCATTCTTGGATAGTGGCCTTAGAAATACTATTTCCTAGATGCCTTTACAGAAGTAAACCATCAACATTAGCAAACTTGTCATAACCGACTAAGAGGATGATGACTCTTCAGGGTATGGACCACACAAGTCAGCCACTGCAGACCTCTGGAAGAGAAGGAGTCTAAAGGGGGGATCCTCTGATTTTGGTTGCTTCTATTTAATCAAGGCAACTAATCAGATTTTTCTCCACCTGATTATTTCAGAAGTCTTTATTCCTTTCCTCTTTCCATTCAGTTTCTACAGATCAAATCTATTAGTGTGCCTTAAGGATCTCCTGGAGGGGACTACAGCACACAGCTTTCCCCAAGTTATTTGATCACAAAACCTTTTATCCCAGAACCTCTTGGGCGAGTGTCCTCAGAGCACATTTAAGGAAACTCTGCTCTTGACACTCCCCTGCGTCCCTCAGGAAGGTCCCCAGAACTTGTTCCCTGGTGTCTCTTAGCTGAAAGTCTATTCCACTAACCTGTTTTCTTCATAAATGTTCTCTGTGCCTTTTCTGTCTTTTCTATTATTCCCCCTAAGTTATCTCCTCTTTCACTCTTGACTGTTGTGCCGGGGCCCCAGTTTTCCAGATTAATCTCTGTACTTCCTTCCCTGTCCATTCTCTATGACTTCAATATTGAATAAGTCCAGTTAGCACATCTAAGCCATACCTTGATCCCAGAGGAATCAAAAAGCCATGCAAAAGAGGGAGGACTTTTTATTCTTGTTCAGTAGACCTGTTTCCAAATAGAAATAGAGATGGTGAGCCAGAAACCCCATCCTCCTGGGCATTTTCCAGATACTCTCCTCAGTTTCCCAAACAGAAATTCGCTTTCTCCTCTTATTATTTCTTTTATTTTTAGGTTTATTTTTATTATTATTAAATATCCTTAGGGTGAGTCAGAGAATCATCTACATTAAAACACAGCTTGCCTCCCTCATTTTATAACTTCAAAAACAGGGCAGATGCCAGGTGAGGGTTTTCTGGCCAGTGGGTAGCAATTGTTCTCTGCTCTCCCAAGACCAGAGCCCTCTGAAAGGACCTTCCTTTCCTCCCAAAGGTGAGGTAGTATGAATTCACAACTTTTACAGAAGGAAGTCACTAGACCTTGTTTCTCTCCTTTTAACAATCCGTGTGACAGACAAACCTTGTCCCAAGCAAGAAAGCAACCAACGCTTTTTCCTCTACTCTCCTCCTACCGCTGGAGACAATTTTCCCAGTGACCACATTTCCCAGCTAAGTCAGGTCCACAGTCTGTGCAGCCACAGAGCGGAGTACCGCTCAAGAGATAAAAGAGGGTATGGTTAGGATCAGGGGCAAAACAAGACACACTCACACCTGAGCTGTACTTTGTGCAGGTTGGAGACATTACCTCATTGACATGATGCAACCTCTCACTCAACATAGAAACTGGGCCTTTTCCCATTTCATAACCTTTCCCATTTCATTGTGGAGCTTTTGGCACTATCTGTAGGCCCTCCGGCTGATTGTTTGACTGGGGGTCTGCTCAACAGTGATTCTGCCATACTTGTTGGCGACTGTTTCCCAGACTTCTGTGAATTTCACTGCTCAACTAGGGCAGTGTTTTCCAAAGGAGGGTCTGAGAACTAAGGCAACAGAATTGCCCATAGTACTTACTAAAATTCAGATCCCTAAACCTGGCCCCAGTTGTAATCCTTGACATGAGTTCAGGGGAGTCTTAGATAACCACTCTTACATGGGCAGATAAGGTCTTCCCATTTCTGTTTTCCTGGGGGCACAGCCCTAATTCTCTGAGTTCAAGAAGCTCACTTTATTCTCTCAATTCTCGGGGTTCCAGGACGAACAAGCTGCTGCCAATGCAAGTGGATGGAGAGCCCTGGATGCAGCCACCCTGCATGGTGAGTTTTGCCAATCTGAGCTAAGAGTAAGAAGCTTAATCTTTGGCCCCTTTTGGGTACTGACCGAATATGAAATCGCTGAATCTCAGAGGTGCAGGGGCTTCGAGAGATCATCTAGTGCAGCCTCCCTTCTATTTTATTCATCCATCTATTCATTTACCTGCCATGCTTTTATTGAATACCTGGAATGTGCTAGGCATTGTGAGGCACCAGTTCTAAAATTAAATGAAACATAGACCCATCTTCGAAGAGCTCACAATTCTTCTGAGACTTCATTACAATATCCTTGAGAACCTCAGCTTGAGTCATTCTAATGGCAGAGAACTTACCACCCCAAAAGGAAGACTGTTCTGCTGTGAACAAGTCTAATTGTTAGAAAGTGCTTTTTTATGTGAAAACCAAATCGGCACTTACCCTAGAACTTCCAGCCAGTCCTTGTAAGCACTGGAGCAACTGGAGGAGAATTCCCACAATGTACAGACACACTTCACCATGGGTGCACACAGCCGTGAGGTACCTGAAAACTCCACTGAAAGGGTAAACACATGAGTTATCAGTTTTGTCTATGTTCTTCACCCAGCACCTAACACTGTGCCTGGTTTTCTAATAGTTGCACAATAATATTTGCTGAACAGTGAATGAGGGACTGAACAAATGATCAAAAAATAAAAAGGATATCCTCATTTCCTGACTCACCATACCTATGTTAGCTCTCCTCTTAGCGCTACTATGGGAGCCATGCAGCCTCCCTTCTTAGTTCCTTCTCTGTTAGAAACTCAGCTAGAAACTCTGTGGTGAAGAAAAACCACTGTCCTGGTGTTCAGGGCCAAGGGTGTTCACAAATATCCTCTATACTGTCGTGAGTGTACAAATCTCAAAAGACAAAAGTAATATTTCTAAGCTTCCTCACTCTAATAGAGTATTCAGATAACAACTCAAAAACTTGCTATTTTGAGCCCTTCTGAACATCAAATGGCCTACTAGAGAAAAGTTTTTCATGAGATTTCTCTTGTGTCTGAATTGTAGGTGTATTTCTGTAACTCTCTGTTCCATATAATTTCTACAAATTATAGAACTGGTCCCTAGAGACAGAGACTCTAGAGATGGCATCTTCAATAGAGGTTGTCAAAAGTAGATATTTTTCTGCAAAATCTTAACCTCAATCTTCTATTTCTATGAAGACTAAGAAGAAGGAAACACATTATAGAAAAAAAAACCACTAATAGTTTGCTACCTTGTTAGAATTAGGAAGGTTGGAGGAAATTTCTACTACTTATAATTTTGATGGAGCTGAATTGAGAAAAATCTTTCCAAGCTCCTCCTGTCTTTTCCCCACCCGCCGCCAAA